TTCTAACAGTTCGGATTTATTCAAAACACCCGCTATATTTTGATGAAATAACGTGAAATAACTATTCTTGTCGGGGACTTTATTTTCATTGTTTACGAAAAAGCGAAGTTGGTATATTCTGTATTTCTATAATTTCGTCTGTTTGGGTACCTTTTTCTATTAAATTTGGGGAAATTATTTTTGAATTTAAAACTTGATTTATATATTTGTAATATTTTATTTTGTGGTCAATCCGCAAGATTTCTCTGAGCAGTAATTGACATATGTGTAGTGCAAAAGAACTGCGTCTAGGCCTTTCATAGTAATAGTGCATATCAATAAAATTTGTGTTATTATATTTAGTACATATAAATTTTAGCTCATAATTAATTTTTCTTTCGTTTAAATGATAATTATATGGTATTTCGGAAATCAAAATGTTAGTGTTAGGTACAGATTCAATCCACTTATTTATGCACATTTGAAATTCGTAGGGATTTCTATCATTAGTTCCACCAAGTACTATCACGAAGTCATTTTTGTTTAACTCGCCAATAGATTTTTTTTCTGAAAAGAGAACCTCTTGTAGTTTAGCTCCAGGTTTCCAGAAACAGCTGACAATATATTCTTCTCCAACTAATTTTTGAAGATATTTCTGTACATTTTTTCCTTGACCATCAGCTATAATAATAATTTTTCTTTTCAAATTATGCTGTTTTATTTCGATTCTATGTTTTTGGCTGTCACTTGGCTTTTCTTCTTCTGCTACATTTATTAATTTTAATTGTTTATTCATCTTCTCTTCAATAGTTTGTTCTGGGTGGTCAGATATAAATATCTGTTGATCTTTGTTTGAATTCTTAGATTCTAGACTTGGATCAACAGTAGAATTGCTTAATAATAATGGCTTTGCTGGAGTGGCTGGTTTGTTTTTGGTAGGATTTCTTTTCTTTCGTCCTGATAAAGGAGTTACCGGAGATGAATGTACCTTCTTTAAAGATTCTACTAATTTGCAGCTTTTGTCAAGGTCTGATTTTAATTTAAAATTTTCAGTGTTTAAATTTTCAATTTCTTGGTGAAGCGATCTCTAATTCATTCGTAAGGTCTTTTATTTTTTTTGTCAATTCTGCATGAACTTGACTATCACTAAACGATGTGTTATTAGGTAAACTCATCATAGTTGAATCAAGTATCGATGAATGAGAGTCAGAAATATCATGCAATGAACTTGATCGTATCGGTTTTCGGTAAGTTATGTTTTCATATGCCATTGTCTTGTTCTTTATTTATAAAATCGGGAAATAAATCAATAAAAATAATATAATTAAAAAATAAAATGTCAAAATTAAATAATTTCCGCTCTTCAATAAAAATAATCTTCACTTCAAAAAAGAAAATTGTCATAAAATGTTCTAAAATGTCATAAAAGTCTTCTAGATTAATATAAATTTCCACTTCAATAAAATATATAAATATGTATTAAAAAAAAAAAAAAAAGTAAATAAAATTTTGAAATAACATGAGATTTGAACCATCAGCCTTCGGTGAACAAGTAGTTTAATGTTGCCGCGAGACCAAGATACTCATCGAAGTCCCTTCTCAAATATTGAATTATAATCTTCGTCAATTGACAGTTGATATTTATAAAAACTTAAATTATTGAAGGTGTTTGAATTAATTGCTTGTCTGCTTTGACCTTCGACCGTCACTTGCACTTATTATTAGCTATATAATATTTATTAATAGTTCTCTTCAAAAACACTTGTTGTTAGTAAGGATACATTCTTATCAGTGTTGATTGATACTTATATGGTTTAGAATCATTAATTGATCTTTATAACAACCAGGTAGAACTTAAATTTTACTTTTATGTTTTCTTCAGTTTAGATGAACAATTTTTTTTACAAACACTAGCACAGGGTATTTCAGTACTAATACACAGTTTAATCAGATTTAATTTAAGTATATACTGAATTTTCTATTTTTATTAATAAAATATACATGAACTAGATAAATTATAATAGTTGCCAGTATAGTACATTATGTCATTTATATATATATATATATATATAAATGACATAATGTACTATAATCTAGACTTTTAATATGTAAAGTCAAGTTAAATAATGTAATTGGATTATAATTCTGTTTATCAGTTTTTTTTATATAAAATGTAAAATATTTGCATGTATATATATATATATATATATATACACACAAGAGAAAAAAAAATAAAAAAATTATATTATTAGTAAAAATTATTAAATATATAAAATGACGAAAGATATATTGGTAAGATATTTTTTTTTAGTATTTTTTTAACGAATATATAAAAAAATACAACCGAATTGAGAATCTCTTTCTTTTTTAAGTTGGCCAATATTATGGCGCTCAAGCAAGTCGTTTGCTCGGGTTCCTCTGTCCCATTCGTGTTTCAACCGTAAAGCAGTTGTGTTTGCATGACTGTGTTTCGGTTTGAAGGGTGGGATATGGCGTGAATTTACTGGGTAAAGAGGAACCATCTGAATCCTCAGGAATGGCAACGCATTAGGGGTATCATGAAACGGTATACTCTGTTATGTCCATGATACTGCTCATATCTATAGGCGACGGTTACCACTTTCCATCAGGTGGGCCGTCAGCTTGTTTGCCATTCTTAGTTGTATAAAAAAAAAGCAATATTTAGCAAAATTGTTTGTAAGCGAGCACGCTTTAATTATTCAAAAACACGACCTAAAACCAGTTATTTCGGGTGTATCCTGAAATATCCTACAATTACACAGTACACGCGGCCCTGTGTGGCTAAATATAGAAATTGTGACGCCAGTTGCTACTGTGTTTATCTAAATGTCAGACTAATATATCAATATATATATATATATATACAGAAACGATACTGCAATAATAAATCACGCTATAAACCTATTATAAACGCGCACATACACACACACCCACACATACACAGAGAGAGAGAGAAAAAGAGAGTAAGATGCGCACGCACACGCGTACACACATGCGCACACACACACGAAATTAATAGTAAATAAGTAAATAGGAACTATAATTTTCTTAATTGTAATTTAAATATATATATATATACATACTGCAATAACAGTTCATGCTATAAATCCATTACACACACACACACACACACACACAGAGAGAGAGAGAGAGAGAGAGAGAGAGAGAGAGAGAGACGTGCGCATAAACACATACACACAAGCCCACGCTCCCATACATACATATACAAATTTCACAAATAGTAACTAGACATTTCTGTATCATTTTACATAACAACCCACTCTCATTGACACAAGTAATTAATTAACCTACTGGAAAAACCCGGTTCGATAATTTTTTTTTAATTGGTGAAAATAGCATGGTAACCTGGGCTTACCGGTTCAATAGTTATATCAACTCACTAATTTATTTTGACGAAATATATATTTTTTATTTACTTTTTCTAAAACGAGTATATATCCTGATAGATTATATAGATAGAGATTATATAGAGAGACTCAAATATAGGTCAACTTTTTGACAATTAGCTGATTCTTTTTTATATTAATCTTCTGTATACTGACGCACACAATGTCTTGATGTATCTATATTTAATTATTTAATAAATAAAATGGGTTTTTATGCATTAAAAAGGTGCAGAAATTATAAGACAAAATAAATATAGAAGTTATAAAGGAAACAATCATAACTTCATTCATCACGCAAAAACGTATGAAAAAGAGAATGAAAGACACTCTATTTATATAATCTATGCATGATATATATACTAGGAGAGACTATACAGAGTAACAACTAGAAGACAGCATTTTAAGTGTAAAGTGTCACCTGATCTGACGCTTGTGAAACATAGCTCACGTTTATCAATGAATTCAGTTGTTTTAACATATTACCCATGCAACTAAAGAATGTACTATACGTGTACAATAATAATTTTTTCTCAAACATGCTTGGAAATGTGAGCATTATTTTGACGATCTTCTTCGAGATAAATCAAAATTGCCGTACTGGCCAGATACATGCGGGCAGCGGCCGGCAAAAGTTGTATGAAAATCCATATCTGTCGTGTTTTGTAGCCAGATAAATTATTATGTAAACTCATATCTGTCCTGTAATTTAAAAATGGAATGACCTTTTACTTCGAAACATGGCTACTAAGAAGGTAACTAATACAAGGTTTTATTTAAATTTCGAACTGGCTTGCAAATAGAAAGCTGTTTATTGAAAAAAAAGGAACATTATGGCGCGTGAAAAATTATTATTGTTCGTTATTCGTCATTGAACTTAAAAAGTAAATTTGTGTATTTGATTTCCGCGCATTGTTTGAGAAAAGTATTATATAATCCTTGGCCACAACTAGGCATTGATGGACCATCAATGCCTCAGTTGCTGGCCGATACAGTAATGTACTATACAAGCCTTGGCTACAACTAGGCATTGATGGACTCACATATGTGTGCCTCGGCTACGCCTCAGCCCATATTTGTACGTTCGTCCATCAATGCCTCAGTTGCTGGCCGCTGCAGTAATGTACTATAAACAGACATTTTTTTAGTATTGTTAAATACTGATCTATAATATTAGTTATGTATAAAAAGAATTCATGTGATCTCGGCAGAGAATGGGCCACCCCTTCCTTTCCCGTGGGTGTCGTAAGAGGCGACTAAGGGAAGGCGAGAGATGGGCAGCAGCGTCCCTCTTTAAATATCTCTAAAGCCTGTCTGGGGTTGCCAAACTGCTTGCCAAGCGTGACAACTACTGGCAAAACCCCCTAAGGTGGAGGCTTATGTTCAGCAGTGGACGGTTACCACTTTCCATCAGGTGGGCCGTCAGCTTATTTGCCATTCTAAGTTGCATAAAAAAACCTGTGCGAAGCCAGGCCAGACTGCTAGTTAAGTATAAATTGGCTCCACTGCAGAATTATTTCACTCGATTTCAAATAACTGTATACTTTACCTTAGTCAAGTGGCTGTTTAATATTTTATATACTTAATTGATTTCAGATTCCACGAGAAAACTTCAAGATGTACTTAATGAGTTCTGTGAAGTCAAGAAGCAAAGTCCAGATGGGGTGAGTGTGTTTATTCTATGCTACATAGACCTACAATATATAGATGGAATGTCTCTACAAATGATTGATTTAGTTTAAAAAAATTTTTTTCATAAATAATTCTGTCACTATATTATGGTCAAGGAATGGGCAGCGGTGTCACTCTTAAGATATTACCAAAGGCTAACTGTGTTGCTAACCCACTTGCCAAATATGGCAACTACTGGCAATAGGGGGAAAAGGGATTGTTAGTAATGGAGACTGAGAATCCCATTGCTAGCAATATACCCAACCAGGTCGACCTCCTCGCGGTTCCCCCTAGAAACTATCATGGTTAATTCCTGATGAATTCATCATGATGGGCTAACTGGCCTGTTTTCATTCTCACCTATCACCCTTCACTAGTGCTCCGCCAGCGTATCTCGTTAGCGCAGGCGGGGTTACCATACCATTTTCACCCATAAAAAAAACTATTGGCAATATTCCCCTTATGTGGGAGGGCTATTTCCAACAGTGGACAATTTACGGCTAATATGACTGAATGAAAATTAATGAAAAAATGAAAACTCTTTATTGTTCTTTTGAAAGAATGGCAAATAAGCTAACGGTCCACCTGATGGAAAATGGTAACAATCGCCTATAGACTTGAGCAGTATCATGGATATAACAGAGTATACTGTTTCGCCCATGATACCCCCCATGCGTTGCTATTCCTGAGGACTAAGGTGTTTTTTTTAATGGGTGATAATGAAATAATAACACCACCCGCGCTATTGGTATACACCGGCGAGGCACCAGTGAAGGATGATAGGTGAAGATGAAGCGGGTCAGTTAGCCCATCGTGACGAATTCAACGAGAATTGTTCACGATGGTTTCCAGGTGGAACCGCGTGGAGGTCGACCTAACAGAGCATATTGCCAACAATGAGTGTTATTCCCCTGTACCCTGTAAATTCACTGTCAAAATATAAAAATAAAGTAATTATATATGTATGATAGTTGTTAAACATCAAGATTAAGGTAGGGAGTTCAAATTCAAACAGGGCTAAAATTTATATTTTTAACACAAATAGCGTAAAGAAATCGTTGTTACTCACATTAGGTGCCTTTTATTTAATGGGTAATAATGGAATGGTAACTCCGTCTGCGCTATCGGTATACACTGGCGGGGCACCAGTAAGAGAATTCCACTAGAATTAATCATGATGAATGAAGAACCGCGTGGAGGTTGACCTGATAGGGTATATTGCTAGCAATGGATTCATTAAAACCCATTACTAACAATCTGTTTCCCACCTCACATTAGGTGTCATTCATGTCGTATAAAAGGGTCAAAGATGTGGCCTGGAATAGAGCTGGCTGGAAGAGAATGAATTAGTTGTACCGATAGTAGGAAACTCTTTTTAAATAAGAAGAGAAAGATCTAAAAGATATAAAATTCTCGTGTCGCGGTGTTTGTTACCAAACTCCTCCGAAACGGCTTCACCGATTTTTATGAAATTTTGTGTGCATATCGGGTAGGTCTGAGAATTGGCCAACATCTATTTTTCATACCCCTCAATGATAAGGGTGACCCACACCAAAATATTATTTTTTAATTTTTTGAATTTTTTTTTAATTTTTATTTTATTACTAGCTGACCCCGTAATCGTTGTTTTACCACTTATTGCGAAATATAAAAATCGCGATTAAAATACATGGGTTGATCGTAAAACGATGAAAATTTAAAGTTGTGTGTATTTTTCAATGCTAAATCATATTTAAAACACAATTAAAAATTTTGTCAAAAAAATATAAAAAAAGTTTTAGGGGTGGGTCACCCTTATCATTAAGGGGTATAAAAAATAGATGTTGGCCGATTCTCAGACCTACCAAATATGCACACAAAATTTCATGAAAATCGGTAAAGCCGTTTCGGAGGAGTTTGGTAACAAACACCGTGACACGAGAATATTATATATGAGATAATTTAGCATTGAAAAATACACACAACTTTAAATTTTCACCGCTTTTACGATTAATCCCTGTTTTTTAATCGCAATTTTTATATTCCCGTAATAGCGTTGCAAGTTGGCAATCGAATATAATAATTGTAGTACAAGAAATTTTCATGTATGAACTATACAAATAATGTATATGTATATAATAAAATATATTTTTTGTGATACTTTTTTTTTAATGGATGATAATGGAATGGTAACCCCACCCGCGCTACCGGTGTACATCGGCGGGGCACCAGTGAAGGATGATAGGTGAGGATGAAGCAGGCCAGTTAGCCCATCGTGACAAATTCAACAAGAATTGTTCACGATGGTTTCTAGGGGGAACCACGCGGAGGTCGACCTAATAAGGCATATTGCTAGCAATAGGCCTGTCAAACTCCATTACTAACAATCTCTTTTCCCCCAATTTTTTTGTGATACTGTGAAATGTATTAATTTTATGAGTACTGTAATTAAATTGTCAATAAAATGTAATTGATAGTATTTAAATGGATACATAAAGCTATATGTATATATATATATATATATATATATATATATATATATATATTTCTTATTTATATATGTTTATATTTATATGTATTTTAATTTGTGTTTAGCACTACTACTGCCCACTCACTACTTCCTATGCCACTGTGTTAGGTTGACTGGAAGAAATCTCTTTTAGAGATAAGTTCGCCTTTGCTAACATTGTTATTAACTTATTGTTGTTACTGTATGTTTTAGTGCAATAAAGAATATATAAAATGTATTATATACATAATATTTGTTGAAATCATTATTTTTTATAATAAAATCACTACAACTCGAGTGGGCAGTCAAGTGGAGTGCTATACTTGATAAATATTTATCTATAGCTAATGAAAATGCATTTTATTTGCCTGTAAATTGCGCAATATTATTTTATATTAACTTGGCCGTGTGGCCGGCATAGAATAGGCTACCCCTTCCTATACCGTGGGCGTCGTAAGAGGCGATTAAGGGAGGGCGAAGAGATAAGCAGTAGCGTCCCTCTTTAAAGATCTCTAAAACCTAACTGCGGTTGCCAATTCGGCTGCCAAGCGTGGTAACTACTTGCAAAACCTGGCTTATGTTCAGCAGTGGACAGTACCAGAGTACTTTGAGAGTACTTTGTACAAAAGTCTGTAAACGCACTTCTGTTTTTTTTTTTTTTATACAACTTAGAATGGCAAACAAGCTGACGGCCCACCTGATGGAAAGTGGTAACCGTCGCCTATAGACTAGAGCAGTATCATGGACATAACAGAGTATACTGTTTTGCCCATGATACCTCCATGCGTTGCCATACCTATGGACTCAGATGTTATTCCTCTGTACCCTGTAAATTCACGCCATATTCCACCCTTCAAACCGAAACACAGCCATGCAAACACAACTGCTTCACGGTTGAATCACGAATAAGACAGAGGTACCCAAGCAATGGACTTTTGTACAAAGTCTTCTTACAACACTGAGAGGCGACTAAGGGAACTTAATAGTCTCGAAATGGACAGCAGCACCTTTCTTAGAACATGACCAAAGCTTAACTGCTGTTGCCAACCCGGTTGTCAAGCGTGGTAACTTACCAAGCCTGGCAACTACAGGAAACCCTCCCAATAGATAGATAGATACTCTTTATTGTTTCCTCCAAAAGATTACAATAGTAAACTTATTATAAATATAAATAATTACAAGAAATAATCACAATGAGAAAACAATGGGCGACCTTATCGCTAAGAGCTATTTCTTCCAGCCAACCTTTGGATGGAGAAGAGTAATTATAAACAATTTGATGGAAGGCACGATGGTAATCCTATTATTTTTAATTATGGAGATGTAATACATGTAATAATATAAATATATATCCCTACTTGATATTTTTGTGCATTATAGGTTTTTGTATTTTATGCATGAAAAATTATTATTTCACACTTGCGCCACCTGCCCACTTCTATATGTTCTCCTTTAACCAAAGGTTGTCTGTAAGAGATTGCCCTAGCGATAAGACCGCCTTTTGTACCTTTATGTGTATATTTCAATCTGTATTTACGTTACTGTATTTCACTTGAATTATTCACTTGTCATTGTATATTTTTGTTTATGGTACAATAAAGAGTTAAATAAATAAATATAATTATTTTAACTAGATAGAGTTAAAGCTATTAGTAAACAAACAATTTCCACCTGAGGTTAAAGCGGTAATTGAGTTTGGGTCGCGGGTCCCTCCGTTCCAGCCCACAACTGCCGTTTCATTTAATGAATGTACAAAACGAACGAATTGATCTACATGTGGTAGCAAATAACCAGAATTTTTTTCCATCAGGCGGGCCATTAGCTTGTTTTCTATTCTTAGTTGCATTAAAAAAGAAATACACAGTTGCACTTATAGATACACTTTCCCAGGCCATGTTTTTGACCTCCCTATACGACATGACACCTAGTACCTTTATCTGTCCCATGTAGTTATTCCTCGGTCTTCCCCTTCCTCTTTTGCTCTTTATTTTTGCCTTCTAGTATGTCTTTTAAAAATCGCCATGTCATATGTATATTTGAGGTTACAGACATAAAAAGTAACCAAATAAAAACAACCTCCTTCTTTTTTGAAATCGGTTAATAATAAACGCAATGTACCATGAAAACTTTACAGACCCTTCCGTCCGTTGTAAAGGTTAACATCTTAGAATTGGAAGGCCGTCGTCATGGCAACGGTGAATGAAATTGATGGGGCCAAATATAAGGTGAAGTGGGTAAATACTCCTTGTGTACCTTCAATTTGCTTTTGCAACACGAGTAGAGGCTTAGCGTTTATTGTTATTTTGGAAATTATTTCATTATATTTGTTCTCTATTGACCACGTTGAAAAGTAAAATATAATGGGCGATCGTAATGCTATTGTTATCGCCTATTAGTAAGATTCTCTTCCAGTCAACCTCTGGGGAAATAACAATTTATTTATTTATTTCTTATTGCATTCCATAATATAATTAGTAGATAAAATTTCAATTATGGACCCTGTTG